CGAGAGCGTGGGCGTGGCGAGCCTCCCTGGCTCGACCACGGGCACGGAGGGATGACGAGGCGTGGGCGTGGCGAGCCTCCCTGGCTCGACCACGGCGGGATGACGAGGGCGTGGCCGTGGCGAGCCTCCCTGGCTCGACCACGGCGGGGTAACAAGAGCGTGGGCGTGCCAAGCCTCCCTGGCTCGGCCACGTCGGGATGACGAGGGTGTGGAGAGGTGATGCCGGAGGGTGATGCGGGGCGTGAGCGAGCTCGGGGCTCGCTCACGGGCAGGAGGACGGACCGGAAAGCCAGCCTCGGCTTCCTCCTTGGCATGGTGGCTAAGCCCCCCAATGGGCTCGCTCAGAGCAGAAGGGGGGGGGGCCCGCCACCGTCGCCGCCGCTCCTCCGAGGGGTCTCCGCTGAGTCCAATATGGCGAGTGCGTTCTGTCATGAGGGGGGTCTTGATGGAGGGAGGACTCAGGTGCGGAGATGAGGGAAGACAAGGTTTATTGCAAAAAAGGAAGTCCAGACCAAATACACAAACACGGCTGTGGCAAACTATGAGCAAAGGCAAAGTAACAAAGTAAAGAATAACAAGACTGAGGCAAAACTGTGACTATGACAAAAACAAAAGACTATGGCAAAACAAACCTGGCGTGGGGGTGACGATGGACTAGACGGACAAGACGGACTAGACGGACAAGAGACGAAACTCGCACAAGACAAGGGGAAACGAGGACTATTTAAACATATGAGGGAGGGAAACCCCAGGTGTACACAATAGGTAATCAAGACGAGACAAGACACCAGACGTGACATGTATAAATACACATACATATTTCTCCCTTTATCTATCACAATACAAAGCATTTGTTTTTCAAAGAGTTTTGGAATGAATAAATAACAAATCTGTGAATTTGTAAGTTTATCTGTTCTTATATAACAATATAATAAGAAGCCAACTGGAAGCAGGTCTCTTCTTTAACACTGATGTATTGAGAAAACAGCAGTTAGCCTAAGTAGCCATGGGACATTAACAGCATATTAATCAGTCAACATCACACAGTGAAATCTTAGTTGCACTGATTAACCTGGCCCTGCAAAGTGAATGACAGTCAGACAAGTATGCCACATTTATCAAAATGCAACTGCTGACATTAATAAATGTGGAAATATGGGTCGTCACATGTTGAGAAGTTAAGACAAACTTTGCATCTGTTGTCCACAAGTCCAATAAAGGTCACAGCACTCAATCAATTCAATGTAGCCAATTTATTGATGGAAAAAATTACATTTGAAGCCCCATTCTTACAGCCAGTGCCATGGTATATTCCAAAAGCCTATAAATCAAAAGAGACACAGACCTAAATAAGTTAATTTAAATAAGTCTTTCTCTGGGCCTCCTCCCGGTGGGAGCCTTATACTTTTGATTATTATCATAAGTCTTGATTGACCATTGATTTCTGACAGACAGCCTCTAGAGAAATGAAAACTGGATCTGTTGATAGTAGCAATTTGTTTGGAGAAAGGCAGAAGGGAGTTGACCAGCCAAAAGAAGTTGACTCCATTTTAGTGATTGTTTGTTGTTTTTAGACCTGTGCACCCACAGAGGCGGTGCCTGGTAATATTGTTATTGTAGATCATGTTTTTTTAACTTTAACTTCTAAAACCATGGAGTTATTTTTAATTTTTCTTACTCTACCCATAAATCAGGCATCTAGGACTGCTAGGTTTCAGCTTTGCAGTATTGCCAAAATTAGGGACATTGTTTCTCAAGATGATGCAGAAAAAATGTCCCTAATTGTCTGAGAAAAATTTTGATACATTTCCATGATGCTGTAAATTTAGAACATGCATTTATTACTTTAAGATTGCAGAATTGTAATTTGTCATTATTAGGTTGTCCAAACAAATCTCTGCAAAGCCTCCACAGCGGCAACCAGAGTTAAAATTAAAAGGAGACTGAACGTATTTTTCCGGCCTTAACTTTTATTCACTGGCTCCCTGTTAAATTCAGAATATCATTTTAAATTCCACTCCTCCCATAATCTACTGTGCTCTTAATGACCAAGCACCATCATATCCTAAAGACTTCATAATTATGTATTTTTCCAACCGAGCACATCGGTCTCAGACTGCTGATCTGTTTGTTGCTTCTAGGGTTTGTAAAAGTTACATTTGGCCCCCCTCTCTTATGAAACCAGCTACCAGTATATGTACGGGAATCAGACACCCTCTCTACCTTGACGATTAGTCTTACAAAGACCCTGAAACATCCCAGAATAAAGCTGCAGTAGACCTAGACGACTAGGAGACCTTTCCTCTCTCTGTTTCTCCTTTTTGTACATTTAGCATTGTTGTTGTTTTTAACTTCTGTATCCAATTCTCTTCAGGTAGCCCTGAGCTTCCGTGGTGTTGTTTGTTTGTTTGTTATTCATTTTTCTTCAAATTATCCTACTTCTTATTCTAAATATTGAATAATATTTGATGCGATTTGGCACTGCATAAAAAAGTTCAAGCAAACAACTAAAAATTGATGAAATCCCTTTGAAGTCTCTAACAAAAGTTGAAGTGGCTTGTGTGTTCACTTTTTATACAAAGCCCATGTTATTTGCATGTGCTGTGAGACTTCCTCTCTTTATGCTTCTCATTTTTGCTTCACTCTTTTCAAGTTTTCTGCCTGTACCTTGGCTTTTAATTGAATTAGTGCTCTTGTGAGATATGGCATGAGCCAAACTTTCCTCAGGCAAGCCCTGGGTTCCCGATGACTCCCCATTGTATTGAAAATGTTATTTGGGCTATATAGATCTACATTTGATATGGTTGAATTTACAGATACCCAGTGAAACTCTGTACACTCCGTGTATGAAGGTATGCAAGCTGAAAACTAATCTTGCACAGATAACAGTTGTGTTTTTCTATAAATTAAATATTATTTTTTTGAATTTTTTTAATTGGATTTATTAGGATGGTAAAGTTTGAGTGTCATTTTTATATTACAATAAAACTTGTCTTAAAATCAGGATCTGAACCCCCAACCTGCCATTCCAAAGAGACTAGTTTTACCACTACACTATCCGGGTTTAGATTCAGGTTTTCTACTCTTAAAAATCCAAAGCTGGTTTCATGCTCTTGAGAAGAGAAAGATTATCTTTTGCAGAACAGTAAGGAGAAGTCTATAAGACTTCAGATTTATCTCGTTTTCAAGCACCTGATTGAATCTTGAAGCTATTTTGAGAGTATTGCTTGATAAGATGCTTTTACTGATTATTTATGCATCTGATACTCTGAATAATGCCTGCTGGGTTCTTGTATGTACCTGCTCCGT